TATGTGCCTGCCGAAAAAATTAAAGTACAATTCTTAGATTATTAACTACAATATTTCAGCTGTTTAATTTATATGAGTGCAGTATGAAATCAGAAGACTTTATGTAGGTGCAAACCATGCACTTGGAAGGAGGCGGTTATGATATATTTGAAGGTACTCACTTGACATTCGGCCGCGAAGATTGCGGTATGCTATGTCGGGTTATCCAGGAACCAAANGTGGGCAGCCATATATTTTGCTCAGAAACTTGTGTGGGATATGGCTTAGAATACTTGTATTAACTGTCATTGAGTACTGAGAACAGAATGCTTTTATTTAAATGCCCTTAATATTTATTGATGTTTATTGCTATTTATTACTTTTTTAAAAATCAACAGCAGTGATTGCACATGATTTTAAAGTGATGTTTCACACACAGTATTTCTGAATCAGACATTTTACCAGAAGCTATTCTGATTATAAAATTCTGTGTAAGATTTGAGGCTTTCATGGCGGTGANAGAAGACTTTATGTAGGTGCAAACCATGCACTTGGAAGGAGGCGGTTATGATATATTTGAAGGTACTCACTTGACATTCGGCCGCGAAGATTGCGGTATGCTATGTCGGGTTATCCAGGAACCAAATCGACATTCCAACGGAATAAATCTCGAATATAATTACATAACATAACATCTACACCAAAATCCTCCGTTACTGAAAGAAGAAAAATTAAGCCATGAATACACTTAACGAGGACTTTATGTGTACTCGTGACTGTGACGGGGAAATTACGTCCATGTGTAATTTACGTGAAAGATTCCGTGGTTTCTTCCAGCGCATGCGCACAGAACCAAAACCTTTCTCACGTGTCTAAAACTTCGATCCGTGATTGTCTGACATTTCCTCTGAGTTGTAATCAGCAATTTCATCCACTAAATACTTAACTTTAAACCTGCTGTCCAGAGGACCGGCTCGAAATAACGGAGCAGATTTTTNCACTGTACAAAAGACGTAAGATTTGAGGCTTTCACGGAGGTGACTATAAAGAAAGGAGTCTTCTGGGATTTGGCACCGTGTATATGTGGTGTTAACCGACGTTTCGGAGGAACGTATCGCCTCCATCTTCAGGGTAGAAGGAAAAATATAAGAAATCCGCAAGTGAAGAGACCGTGAGAACCGGTAAAAGCAGACTGAAATTATAATCAATTTCTAGAGAACAGAAACAAAGAATATGTGCAACTAACAAAAAGCGAAAATCAGACCCAGACAAGCTTTGGTAAGGCACGTCGAGCTCATCATAAACATGGCGTACCGGTAGACGATGAATATAGCAGACATGGAATAATAGCATCAGGACTTCAATCGATTAACGTAATATTAAATGGCGACTCTAATGATTATGAGCTATTTACTTCGAAATTTTGTACTTTTCCGAGTCTAAAGGAACTATATGAGAAAATATTTTCTCATTTCTGTCACAGGCTCGGTATTCACAACACGGAAGGAAAGACAAGAACATCAAGGAAAGAGTTTGTGGTGACCAATCTCCGTTGAACCGTTCCAGCTGGGGTCGTACCATAGCACAGGTGATTAGTCGTCGGCTTCTCATAGCGACGGCCCGGGTTCTATTTTAGGTGTGGCCATACGGGATTTGTAGTGGACTAAGTGGCATTAGGCTGGTCGCGATAGCCGAGCAATCTAAGGCATGTACTGTCTTCGCCCGCTCGGAAACCGGGATCGTGGGTTCGAATCCCTTATAAGGCTTGGAAGTTTGGTGTGTATATGCGTTTATTCTGTGTTTGTGTTGTCCTGTGTTTAGGTAGAGGCCTTGCGACGAGGTGATTACTCGTTCAAGGGGTCCTACTGACTGTAACAAATGATTATGTAACTTAAAATTCAGAGGCCAGGGTCCGAGGGGGCTGTAGAGCCAGTGAAAATAAGTGGCGCTAGAGCAGGTCTTCTCCGAGTACTTCGGGTTTCCTTGCCAATTCTGTTTCCACGAACTTCTTCACAGTCATTTGTCATTACTTCATCGACGCAACTTAGTCCTGACGCTGACAACGTCGTTAAACAACATACCATTTAATCATGACATCGTTCCACCTATAAGAGGCTATATTAACAATTTTTCAACGTAATTCTATGAAACTTTGCCACATTCCGCGTAAAAATTCTGCATGTATCCCTTGTCTCCCCACACTGACAACATACCCATTCCACTATGACCACCACAGTCGCAATAATACAATTCAATTTCTTTATTTAAGTACTTGCAAAAGCGAGTGGCCTATAACAGGTGAGCAGTAAATTGCATAGCGATAAGGAAACACCTTTAAAACTTTCAAAGATTAACACAACATACATTTCTCTTTGCGCCCTTGAGATACATGACATAGTACATCAAATAAATGATGTGATTACGTCAATATATTGTAAGTTTGAAAGCTCTGAAGTGGTGATTGTTCATATTTTGGTCTTCCGGGTTTTAAGCTAGTTTTAGGGGGGGGTTAAGCGGGTTTTAGATAGTTATGCCGGTTTTATGGGTCTTTAAGGGGGGTTTTAGGGTGTTTTAATAAGGCTTTATGGGATTTTAAGCGGATATCGAAGTTTCGGAGGAATGCTCAAAATGGCGACAGTCTCAACTGGTTACTCAGCCATAGGTGACACGCTATAGCACTGTCTTTTATCAAACGCCAGAAACGAAACTAACATCGTAAAGTACACATTAAAATGTCGAGGGCCGAGGACGGAACGCTGCAGTATGGGCACTTAGACGGAAGATCAACTTGCTGTTTCGGCGTTATCTTGTGAGTTTTTGACGTTCCAGCGGTTTAGATATTGCTCCTTGACTGCCACAACGAGTTATGTTTGCAGTTGCGAGATCAGCATTTACAGGACGGTTCAATGTCAATACAGCAACTTCATCTTAAGGAAAAGAACTTTATGGTAGGGACACGATACGCCAAAGTCAGAATTCTTCACTTTAAGGGAAGAAATAAGCAAATTTTGAACTCTGACTTACAAGTTAAACAGGACAAAAAGTGAATATTTTATAAATATGAGAAGGTTAAACTACAGCGTTCAACAGGGTCTGGCAATGGATGCCATCCACCGCAACATGAACCCACGCCACACCCTCTGGATTGCACAACATCCTGATATTATCCTCCCACCTACGCTTAGGTAGTTCCCAACTAAATTAATGCACATATTTCACTTGTCCGGTATATGCTACATTTCTAGCCCATCCCATCGTCCTTCATCTGATCGTCCCAATAATATTTTGGGAAGGTACAAATTATGGAGTTTCTCATTATATTGAGGAATTGGACCCGTTGCTAGGCAACGACGGTGAAAGAAGCGGCTATAGAACAGCCGTTACTGAGTAATGACTTCAAAAAGAACAAGCATGTTTGCCGGGCATCAATTGGAAACAGCAACAGAGGAACGGTGTTTCCTGTGCGGTCTCTGTCGAGATGTTATAAGCAGGAGAGTTAGTGAAGTGAAGAGAAGTTGATTGGAGAGTTCTGGAAGCCAGAGTAAGAGGAAAATCCGCCATTGGAAGCCGCTACCGAACAACGGCTAAGGAAAACTGAAGAGACTTTGTGTGTCCAGTAGTTACAGTGATCTTCGGAGCGTGTAACTCAGTAAGACTGCCGTCATTATTTCTAGTTACGTTCTGTAAGTAATCAATTAATCATAATTCCAATCCAACCCCGTTCTATAGTCATATGCAATCACGTGACAATATTATTCACCACAGCCTACTCTTTTCTGTTTCTGGTACAAATACTCTTCCCTGGGTCCTCTTTGAGATATCCTCTATTTATATGCTTATTTAAGGTTGAGGGGATTATGTTTCACAACCATACAAAGCGACAGGTAAATTTATGTTTTACTACATGTAATTAAATACTTGTGTTTCTATATGGTAGACGGGAAGTCCAAGATCTCTGAAGCGAATAGTAGAAGGCAACCTCGACTCTATTCAACTGGTACTCCCAGCTTCTTCAGCATGTGAACAACTCTGTTTCAAATAGTAGTTGTAACAGCATTTACATTGTGACATGACGCCTGAAAGCCGGAATAGCGAAGTCAGAATAGACGGAAACACATTTCCGCGGCAACGAATACGTAAGCAACAATCGAGTAATTTTCGTTGATATGCAACGTCGCTGTAAACACGCTGATCCAACAATAGAAAGACTGTGTTTCCTGCGTGGTTCGTGCAAAGTGGTTATACAGAAGAATTCAGTTTAGAGAAGTAAATACGAATTTCGAGACTCCAGCCTGCGGGGATATGAGGTTGGGAGCACAGAAATTGAATTAAGTTGGCAGTGCAGAATAACAGGAAGAAAGAAATTAGGCTGTGAAAGGAGACCTCATGTGTGATTTGAAGTTACAGTGAGACTGTTGCCAGGACACGGCTACTGAAGACTGGGACCCTAGTGCGTGTGTAACGGTGAAGTGTAAATTGTGTAGAATAGCGGCAGCGCTGTCATTACCTGTAGTCCCGAGTTGTGTGTCAATAAGTTCAATCATCCAATCCAAACCCGGTCTTACATACAAACCCCTTATTCGTGATAATATATTATGCCAGGTACCAGTCACGTGAAGGATGTCCCTTCAGTGACAGAACTGACAAGGTTCAATGCTATCTATAAATAAGGTAGGAATAATAACAGATCGACATGAACCAAAATTAAACCATCCCATCACCAAATTTCATCCAGACCCTTAAAGTCGTTTTGAAGATGAGACGTGCTGGCACACAGATGCACGAGTGGACTTCCAAATTCTCACTTCGTGTGCGATTTGCATGGAATCCACAGAGGTTCTATTCGCCTAGCCTACAGGCTGATTCAAACGAGGCTTATATTTTTGTTGTTTCTCCCAAAGGAATCCAGAGAAGTAGCTGGCTTCGGGAAGAGATCCCTCCGATTATAGACTGGGGCAGAATTTCCTGAATTAGACAAAAATTACTACACATCTCCTTTTTTGTTGTAGTTTGGAAAATCCTTACCTTCACAATATAGGCTTCCTTTCCGCAGACGACGTCATGGGGCACCCCTGCTAGAACAAAAGAGAAAATCTCAGTTTAGAAGTATTTGCATTAGAATTTTTTTTTAAATGAATTGCTTTATATTTTAGTCCATCGTAATGAATTTGTGTCGCTAATTCGTGAAGGTCTCTTAACACAAATTCCAAACTGGTCTGTTTGTCGTCGTTTTGGTTAACCTAAATCTCGCCCTCTCCTTGCTCGGTAACGGAATGCCAATTATACGGGGTCATCTCTTTCTATTCTTTGCAGTCTCATTGGTTTGTCCGTATCACTTCAACTATATTTGTAATTTTGGATCTTACTCCTCTATCCGAATTTCTTCGGCGGTCTGACGTAATGAAATTCAGTACAGGTCTCAAAAAATACATTTTCATTATCTGTAATTTGTTTAATTTCCTTTGGCTTAAAATCCAGATTTTACCACCGTAATTTAGCGATGCTCTCGAATGTGTGGTTTCATACTGACACTTCCGTGCAGAAATATATGTTATTACCTTAATCGTGTGCATTCTGCTGTGTGTTATAAACAAGGTACATAAAATGTATATATAAGTATGCAGTCTACACAACAATATTCTGTATTTAAAACACAGTAGACATGTAGCGTCAATAAAAACAAATGTTGATATGAGTGTGTCTACTTTGTTTTAATTACAGAATTGTGTTGTGTAGACTGCACACTTCTTTATTCATCAACTATAATAAATTTACACACACTAAAACTTGTTTTGATTATTCATCTTATGTGTCTTCGTTAAAACTTGCGTGTGGTTCTTCCAATATGAGGGTCCTTTTTCTTATATTCTGTGTAAACCGTGTCGTGTGATGTGTGTTCCCTTTTTGGCTGCGAGTATGTTGACAAATAGTCATCTATGAAGAGACCCGATGTATTTTCACTGTTTAGACAACTATAAGCATTTCAAAATGATTGGATAATAAAGAAAATGAAGATTATTCCATGTTTATAATGATTTCTTGCAGTGTAAATCCAAGATCCATCGAATTTCTTTGATTTTTAAAACAGCTCTATTCAACCAGATCGTTATGCTTGAATGTAGTTCCCCTCTACTCGCCATATTTTGTTCTTTTCTTCTGTTTATGTGGAGTATTCATTTTATTCCCATTACTATTATGGACTACTGCAGCTATGCATTCCAAATCAAATGCAGGTTTAGAGCGTGATAATAAGGCTAACAAAGTTTGAAGCATATCTCATATAGGATCACTGTAAATTTCAGACATGACAGGTGCTACTTTTTAGCTTATTCCCAATAATACTCAAGTGGTAGGAATTTGCATTATTGTAAATTTATATAACAATAAAATATAAAGTCGTATAATTAACAATTTAAATTTTATTCTCCATCAGAGTGACATTAGTGGATGACTTCTCTACTCAAGACACCTGCCTAGAAAAAATTTACTTATTACTCCATATTATCGGGAGTAATTGTAAATATTCCATTAATTAAATAATAATAAAATCTATATAAAACTTTGCATTCCATAAAATTTTTCAATTTATTGACCAGTATAGCCAATATCAGCTTCTCAAGAAATACTCTTTTCCATGGATTTGTTATTTATCTTGTTCTGTTAGGACATTTTTGTTGTCAGAACGTCACAGATATTTAAAGTTAACACAAAAATGGAGAAGGGGGCCTTTTAATTTGTGTGCTTAAATAGAAGCTGAACTTGGAGACAAGGTTTAGTGCATAAGCGAGATAACTCGCGAGTAGCACTGGAGGGGTTATGGGAAAGCAACCGTCGTATGTTTTTTACATAGCATCCTGTTTTATTGGTTTTGATCCTCCAATTGATTTTCCCTCTGGCTGGAGCTGTTTGAAACAGTTTCCGTTGCTTGGGTTACTTGGCGGAGGTACATTGTGGAATGCAGCAATGTTATGCCCACGGAAAGTTTAAGTCTATTAGCGTCACCCTGAGGAAGAGACATAGAGCCAGGGGAATTGTTGCTGCTTGCGATGCTTATGGCGTGGTACAGCCAAGTCTCCACTGAACTTCCTTGCTGATGCGGAGGGAAAGAAGAAGAAGAGGAGTAAATGAATGTTCCTAGCACTTTGCTCCAAATGAACATGATGATGAGCATAAAAAAGCTTAATAGCAAAGAGGAGACACATTCCACAAGACTTGCTCTACATGTACAGTCAGACGTAAAACGTGAACCACAGCAATGTTATTGTGTTATGCTATAAATAGAATAGTCTAGCATGTGATATATCAGTCTTTAATGTAGGTAAATTTATTCTGTGTTGTTGTGCTTGCAATGAACAGAGCAAACACTCATTGTTTCAGTAAGAAGAGTTCTTGGTGATGATGATATTCCGAATGCCTTGCGGTGCAATACGGGTAGTCTTCAAGCAGCGGAAATTGAAACGCGATATGCGAAATGACTCAGAAAGTATGAAACACACTATGCACTCATGAAGAAATTGGGGAGTGTACATACAGAGTAATAAATATGGCATGCTAACTCCCGTTTCTGTAATTATTTCCGCAGAAAAAAATTTAAGTTCTAAGAAAAGAATGGTTGTAAAAGCACGTTAAATTGTATTCCAGTTAAATATACACGCATGCGTATGGGGCTACTGACTGGCTACATTCTCCCAGCACATCTGGTGAACTCTATTAAATCATTACATGAAAGCAATAGCACCGTCTTTAATAATCAGAATATAATAGAAACAACCCGCAGTAAATCGAGGACAACGATGAGGCTTAAAGCTTTCCCACTAATGTATGATCTAGACAAAAAAAGAAAAAAGAAAACTAAAATTAACACCACAAAATGTTTAAATCTCAGTAATAATAAATATATTAATGCAACAATATTTATACTTAGGTGGTGGGATATTTCTGCCACATAAAGAAGACAAATTTACAAAAAAAAATATACAAAATTAAATCAAATACTGAATCTATATCGACTAATAAAAGTAAAGTTTTGGTAACTGAGAGGAAATATTTGAGACGGGCTAAGTAGTTACAGAGGACAATATAATTGCCCAAATGAACACATTTAAATAGTTGGGAAATATATCAAAGTGTAAAACGAGTGTTAAAAATAAAATAAGTTAAATGGCTATATTACGATTATTTTGGGAATATTATGAGGAATAAGGTAAAGTTAAGAATGCATAAGGGCATTGCGAAACCTTCCCTAGAGGGTAGTAGCGAACCGTGGGTACTGACAGAAGAAAATAGGAGAACACAAGGATAGCAACTGAGGTTTCTGTCAGGTACGAGTATCACAATGGGAATAAAGTAAGAAGTACTAACATAACAAAGAAATTAGGAACACAATTAACGGCGGATAATATACAGGAATATAAATAGAAGTGATATAATCATGTGGGAAGAATACCTCCTGAACTTTTGTCATGGTAAACATTCGAGAGCTGAGGCACTGGACGTCAAATAAGAACACGGGAACATCAGTTCCTTAGTTCTAGAATGAGGCTTGGCTAAATTCTTAAATATACACAAGAAGGAGATGCACGTGGTCCCAAAATGGGGGATGACGGTTCATCAAATTATTAACGACAGTTGGAAACTACGCCTATCCTCACGCGGGGTTCGGAAAAGTCTTGATTTTTTGATGGACAATTCCGAATATGTATGCATAGCGAAGGTATTCTCTGATGTTCACTCCCTTTCATTTAAACGTGTCAGAAACGGTAAGACGTACGGGAAAATGTTGTGACGTGCTGCTTGAAAGCCGGACTATAGGACATCCATTGCTGCGCAACGGACCATGAGAAAGCATGATACCTAGGAAACCACTTCAAGAACACGAGAACCTAACACTGGGTTTCCACCATTACAAGGAGGCTAGCAATATCTAAGCGACGAATTGTTTAAGGCAATAAAAATTTATTCGCTCGGCAACAAGAGATTCGTTTGCATAGCAGTGGGCGAAAATAAACCCTTCGACAAGGTGTTCCCTATTCAGTCCGAGTGCAGGATATAACAGTCCAACTTCGGCAAGATCGTATCCGACAAGGGACCAGTCAGTTCGTATCCGACTAGAGCAGGAGTCAGTGCAGCTTCGAAGAACGTAGAGTCAAGACACTCCACCAACATTAGCGGTACACGTGTAACAGCGAAGAGGAAACGTCCGAAGACGTTACAAGTGCGAATAACTGTATTAGTGAGTGTAAAAAGTGATTGTCGAATAAACATATTCGCAAAATCCAAAACCCACTTAAAATTTCTTGTCGCGTTACCTAGGAAACAAGCGAAAATATATTGACTCTAAAATATATATTTTACGTTTCGCTAAAATGTCCGGTTGAAATAAGAGTATTTTTCATTTCGGTGTATATTTAATTAGTTATGTCGAAGATAAACAAAGAAGCGCATATAGGCCAGCGCGTAAACTGTCCATTGTAGGAGTATTTACTGCTTTCAAGCAAAGTGGAGGTTCTCCGGAAATTTTAGCAGAACCCCCCCAATTTAAAAGTTCATGAAAATCAGTTTAGCAGTTCTAGAGTTATGTGCAGCTGAGAGATAGACGGACAGGCGGAGAGCGATAGCGAAGTTCAATGCGTATTTATGTAACTTCACAAGTAAAGGCCCCAAAGAGTAAAGATTTATAACAAAAAGCAGAAAATTGTGGTTAGATCAGAAAAATTATAGCCGAACACCGTGACCTGGCTGCCTAAGGCATGAAATGTTTTCGACTGTTCGAACACTGGGATAGAGGGTTCGAATCCCACCCAAGGCATGAGTGTCTGCGTTTATTCTGCGTTTGTGTTGTCCTGTGTAGTTAGCGGTCTTGCGACGGGTTGATCTCCCATCCAAGGAGCCTTAAGAATTAAGGAACTGAAGTGAAACGAAGAATTTCACAGGTGCCCTACGCTCAAGCGGGAGCAACAGGAATAAACAGGGAGATAAATTAGTAAAATAGTAATGTACTACATGAACGCCCATTTTCAACATTCCCATCAACGGACAATATAAAACCGGTTCCATCAAACTTCGATTCTCA